ACCATTATAGCTTATTGTAGCTGTTGCTGACTAACCTCTTGCTCTCAGTGACACAAACCCGGTATAAGTACATCATTAAAAGTAACTCAAATATGATTCCTTTTCCTGACTTTAGACAGCAGAAGGCATGGCTTACATTGAGCAGAGAAACTACATTCACAGAGACCTTCGTGCTGCCAACATCCTGGTCAACAAGAGTTTAGTGTGTAAGATCGCTGATTTTGGACTGGCCCGTATCATAGAGGACAATGAATACACTGCCAGAGAAGGTTAGTCTGATAAACAGCCAGCAATAATGTAGAGAAACCGAGTTAATAGAAGTTGGTAAACTGTAGATAAATGCATGTTTCTTTATAAGTTATTGTCAACGGAAGTCATGTTAATATTTTTCTTGTGACCTCAGGTGCAAAGTTCCCCATAAAATGGACAGCTCCAGAGGCCATAAACTATGGTTCCTTCACCATTAAGTCAGATGTGTGGTCCTTTGGCATTCTGCTCACTGAAATCATCAGCTATGGTCGCACGCCATATCCAGGTTAGTGGTCACCACAGTGCACTGTGAATATGCTAAATGGGTAATTCTCTGGAAACTGTGGCATTTGTACCTACATTTTTGTATGAATTCTGAATTATTTTTTCATTGATTTAACTTTGTTTTCAAGTATTTTACACTGCAAAACTCAATAAGTTAAGTTAACTAAAAATTTGACAATTTAAATCATGACAAAATTTAAATCATAATCATTATCACCACTGCCTTATCAATCATTTAAGTTAAAAAAATATCTGAGTCATACTAAACGCCTGAAAAAAATACATTTCTTGACATGAAATTAAACTATAAACTTTACTCAGGTACTCAGTGTAGCCAAAACGTAAATTTAAAAAAAAACGTTAAAAAATATATATATATATATAAGACCCATAACAAATTCTAGTAAATGTTTCAGTTCTCCTTAGTTGAGTTCGCATAACTTAGTGCAGTGAACTTTCAGTAATAATTGAGTGAAACAAACTCACTTTATGCTACTGTTCAAAAGTTTGGGGTTGGTAAAATTTTGAAAGACATCTCTCATGCTCACCAAGGCTTCATTTCATTTTGATCAAATAAATTATAAACAGTAATATTGTGAAATATCATTACAATTTAAAATAATAGTTTTTTATATATTTTAAAATGTAATTTATTCCTGTAATGAAATGCTGAATTTTCAATATCATTACTCCAGTCTTCAGTGTCACATGAT